CCATTCGGGCCGTCGAGACATTCAGTCAACTCATATACAAAGAGATGAATACAAACGTCACTTATATAAATGCCACAAAGATTGACGACTGGCCCCGATTCCAGTACAGGGGCCTACTCTTGGACACCGCCAGACACTACATCCCAGTCGATGTTCTTCTGCTAAACTTAGTCAGTATATCATTATTTATGATTTATACTCTATTTCTCTTTTTACTCGCGTTTTTCTCTTATATTCTTTGCGTTAATAATTCAAAGCAATTCATGAATGCATTAATTCTTCTATTTATTAAAATGTTGTTCACATGAGTTGTTACTTATTTTGAAAGATTTATTCGACTTTTATGACTATAGATTTATCTGAAAATAAATATTTTAATACATTGTATATTACGATAAACTGAAGCTTCTTTACTTTTTAAAACTATAGTTTCATTTAAATATTTTTTGCTTTTAAAAGAGATGTCAGAATATCTCAATTGAAAGAGTCATTTGAATGTTGCGAATACTATTCGATAAACTTAATGTATTGGATTGAAACTCACATGTTTACTTGTGATCAACTCGCTTTATTATACAGTATATACAAAATGATGTTAATAATTTTAACATGAATTATAAATACCGTAGGCATTTAACAAATACATGTATATTTCATTAAATTTTTGTTTAAAAGTTTAATATATATTATATCATTATATATCATTTAAAAATAAATAGAAAAGTATTAAATTTATAATCAAACCACTAGTCTTTAAAACTTTAATGCTTTAATATAGCATTCAATTATGATAATACAATTTAATCACATAAACAATACCGCGTTTTACATACAATAATAGGATTTGTAAAAAAATTATATTTATTTTTATTAAGTTAGTTTTGATATGATTTGTGATTTTCCAAACTATGTTTCGTTTTGAAGTTATCAGGGCTTTACTCATAGAACAGTATTGTTGTGCATTGAATAGACATTGATTCAAAAATTTAAATGAAAGGATAATAATATGCAATGTTATGCTATGATTAAGTTTTATACTAACTAAATATTTTATATAAAAACGAAAATAATTTGGAAAATCACAAATCATATAACTTATGTATTGTTAGAGTTACGAGTTAGTTACTTTTTTATGATCATAATACATGTTGATATAACAAATATATGGTATAATAAGATTTTAATTTTTATTAAGAAAAATTATGGTTAAATTAAAATTCCACTGATTTTAGATATGATTTCTAACATAACATCAAAAACAAAATATTATGGAGTTTTCTTGTCTTATGATTTCAATTGGAATTCATTAATAAAATCAAGTTTTTGAAGGTTTAGTGCTAGAAATGCATGTAATTATTA